GGTCGTTGGGGGGCTGGGAGAGGAGGAGGGAGGGAAGGAGTGGGGGGTTGGGGGAGTAGGGAGGAAGAGGGGGGTTGGGGAAGGCTGGAGGAGAGAGGGGAGTAGGGAGTGAGTGGGGGTTGGGGGAGGAGGGAGGGAGAGGGGGGTTGGGGAAGGCTGGAGGAGGGAGAGGAGTAGGGAAGGAGTGGGGGGTTGGCGGAGAAGGGAGGGAGTGGTGTTTGGGGAGGGCTGGTGGAGGGAGGGGAGTAGGGAGGGAGTGGGGGGGTTGGGAAGGCTGGAGGAGAGAGGGGAGGAGGGAGAGAGTGGGGGGATTGGGTGAGGGAGTGGGGGGTTGGGGAGGGCTGGGAGGGGGGAAGGAGTGGAGGGTTGTGGGAGGAGGGAGGGAGTGGGCGTTTGGGGAAGGCTGGAGGAGGAAGGGGAGTAGAGAGGGAGTGGGGGAGGGGGAAGGAGTGGGGTCGTTGGGGGGCTGGGAGAGGAAGAGGGAGGGAAGGAGTGGGGCGTTGGGGGGTTGGGGAAGGCTGGAGGAGGGAAGGAGTGGGGGTTGGAGCAGGAGGGAGGGAGTGGGGTTTGTGGAGGGAGTGGGGGGTTGGCGGAGTAGGGGGCTGGGGAAGGCTGGAGGAGGGAGAGGAGGAGGGAAGGAGTGGGGGTAGTGGGGTTTGGGGAAGGCTAGAGGAGGGAGAGGAGTAGGGAGGGAGTGGGGGGTTGGGGAAGGCAGGGAGAGGATGAGGGAGGGAGTGGGGGGTTGGAGAGGAGGGAAGGAGTGGGGGTTGGGGGAGGAGGGAGGGAGAGGGGGGTTGGGGAAGGCTGGAGGAGGGAGAGGAGTAGGGAAGGAGTGGGGGGTTGGGGGAGGAGGGTGAGAGTGGGGTTTGGGGAGGGCTGGAGAAGGGAGGGAGTGGGGGGGGGAAGCACATGTCCCGCTAGAGCTGCCCTGTGAGACTGGGCCATGGCTGGGCGCTGCCACCAGGGGGCAGGGCAGGCTCAGCCTTGACTCAGGATGTGTTGGGCTGGGTGAGCTGGGTGCGC